TTAATGACATGGCACATTATCCTACTGGAAGCAGCCATCAAAAGTTTGGTACACTGTTATAAAGGTATGGGCAAAATCAGTAACAAGCTGGTTTGTGCTGAGAAAATATCCCCACCCCACTGCACCACCACCACTAGTCTGACCCAGCGGGGACGCAGTCACGTTTCATGCTGTTTAACCCCAAATACTGACCCTGCTGTCTTTGGCAGGAGAAACTAAGATTCAGATGAGTCTCAGTGTCGAATGAGACAACAAGTGATCAAACTGCTCTCCATCATGGACAACCCATCACATTACGATTAAATCTCAATGCCATAAAGAACACTTCAGGAAATCATTCCTACTGTCCTCTCTAAAACTGAATAATGACTGTTCATTCAGTGTCAGGCACACAAAAGACCCCTTATTTTTGTATTATACCATCATGTAGTTGTTTTTCTTACATTTATAGTGTACATATTTTTTGTAATGCACTTTGCATCTATCTATCTATCTATCAAAATGATGACACACAAGTTTAAATCAAATGTTGCACTTTCTGCGTTCTTGATGCACTGGGTTAGATAATGCAATGTCTCACTTGTGAAAATGCAATGTAGGGTTGTTTTTTTTTTTATGAGAAACCTCGATACAGTAGAGGTGGGTGTTAAGAAGTGCAAAGTGCAGACACATTATTTGCTCAGGCCACTGCTTGAGTGCAGCAGCAAACATGCACACAAACAGAAAACAATGAAGCCTTTACCTCAAGCACGTGGGAGGCAGAAACTCACTCACCGAGTGATCAGCTTAAGTGTTTACTCCAAACACACTGAGCTCAGTTACTGTGGCTGTACCACCAGATAGACCAAGTGTTCTCCTTTTGATCAAACTTTAGATGTGCTTGTTACTTCATCTGGATTTTAGATTGACAGTGTGCAAAATATTTTTGCTGTAGAGTTAACTTTAACTGATGCACTTTTGCAAAATTTATTATAACCAAAACCTGAAATTTACCATTTGAAACTGCATGTTTACAGTTAGGTCCACAAGGATCTGGACAATAAGACAACTTTTCTTTTATATACAGCACACCTACTTCAGAGGCTCACTACCACAGACTCACAGTTATTCCACATCTGCAGTGGAACTTGTATTTGGTAGCTGTTTGCTTGAACTCTCATTATTCTGAGGTCAAAAGAGATGCTGATGCAGGTGAAGGAGCACTCAATGCTCACATTCACAAATGCCGCAAACAGTGCAGATGGATAAAGACCCAAAGCACTGCAAACTGCAAAAGCAACCCAAAGGTTTCTCAAGGCGATGAAAAAGTCAAATCAACCACCTAATCGGAACCCAAGAGAGCTGCTTATCAGTTAATAAATACACAAACAAGCACTAAGTGAAGGCGGCTGCAGGAAAGGCCTGCCAGAGCATCAAAGAGGAGGAAACAAAGCAACTGGTGATATCCATGGGCTCCAGACTTCAGGCGGTCATTGAGGGTGGGGGGCGTGATGCTTAATATCTCAAATGAAAGATAAAGTCTGCAGTTCAGTCACATACTGATGGTTGATGGTCACATACTGGTTTCAGCAGATAGCATCACATCACCTCTATTGACTACGCTTCGCTCATCTTTTAGAATATATTTTAAGATCTTCTTATGATTGATTTGTATGATTTCATTATACTTGTTCGTATGAGACTGCACTGTGCTGCATTATCTGAAATGCAGACTCCCATATGTCACTTCAAAGCCTTAGATTTTCAGCTGGGGCCCTTCTGGGTTTCCAAAGAATGAGGTTTAAATTCAAAGATGTCTGTGTATTTGCCATTAGGGTCCCTTGGCTTCGGAACAATCTGTGTGAGTGGAATATGTAACCTAAGACACGCTGCTCCAGACCTGCGTGTCGCTCTGCTTTTCTTCAAACACCTCTCTGTATTTTGCTGCTTTCATTTCCTTGTGTGCTCTAACCAGTCTCACTGTCCCTGCTGATGAGAAGTGTGAACAGTGTGATGCTGTCAAGATAATATTTCATCTCAGTCATCTCGGGGTTAAGCAGAAGGGTGTTTACCAGACGCAGCGCTTCAGGTTCTACCCAAAGAATTTATTTTTGTCTCATCAGTCATTTGAGTGGTTTCCATTCAGCCTCCTACTCCAATCAGCCAATACAGGTAGCAAAAGCCTTGCAGGGCTGATGCCGTAGGCCTGTTTGGGGCATCACTAAAAACGAAAGTCTTTTAGCACACTAAAAGACACTTTGCAATGTTTCGGTGTAGGTTTCAGTTTATTCTAAGGTGAAAAAGCATCCACGTCTGTGTATAACCTAAGATCACGCTTTATTACGTGGTCTTGACAGAAAAATAAAGTTGGCGTTATAGGTGATTTACTTGGGTAAGTCCCTGCAACGTGCTAAAATACTGCTTCATTTTTACATGCCAAAGACTCCACGACCTAATGTAACACAGACTAGAAGATAAAACAGTGCATTCTTTAAATACACAACTCTGTGTGTTGAGCGTCAACTTTAGTTACTAAAACCATAAAGAAAAAACAGAATCTCAGGTAAACTTTTTATTTTTATTTTAGAGGTGTTTTTACAGGATAAGAATTCAGAAATATTTGATTTTTTTAAAAACAAAACAAAACTCTGAAGACTTATGTTACACATCCCCCAGCATGCACCGCTGCTATCAAAATAAAGAGCAGTTTCTGTTCCTTCTGTGACACTCACAGATCCAGTACAGTACATTCAGGAACTGAAGACAGTATTTACACACACATACACACACACAATAAAGTTGATAATTTTACATCCATTTACATCTTAAAAACTGTGTATTTCAAGAAGAAACAGTTCAGCAGTATGTAATAAAGTAGCACGTGACAGGACGGTACATTTTGAAAGCTTGCTGGATTTCAAAATGAACTCGCTCTTTCTCTGAGTAGCTGGTGAATAATAAACCAATAAATCTAGATGATATGATAAAGATGTATGAGAACTGAGTAAATCAAAGACATCAATAAGCTTTCAAAAAGAGAACTTCAGAGGCCATGCATGCAGTTATTGCACATAGTGTCAGATTGTTGTTGTCAGATTTGCATGATAGTGGCGAGCTGTCGCAGCAGCTCATGGAAAAATCACCAGTGACCTTTGAATATACAGTACTGATAAGCTGAAAGGTCTATAACTGATCTATAAGCACGTATGGAAGGTGTCCCTGAAACTTTTTCCTCCGTGTTGTGATAAATACCCCGATGCAAAAGAAGTCACTAAACCTGAAAGTCAAAAGTGAGCTTGTTAAGCTCTCACGCGATTATCAGCATGGGAGTGAAGATGAATTCTGGAGATGAGGTGAAGCGGAAATGAAAGGTTTTCATGTTGGAAATGTCATCAAAGTGTAAAACCTTTCAGCCTGGGATTGCATGATGATGCATTCTCAGTCAAAACTTTCCACTCAAACAAAATAAAAGCCCCTAGTTTCTGTGTGCAGCCAGTTATTGGGACCCATTTTAAAACTGACCTCTAGCAGCTGTTTGATTGTGCAAATTGTATCTGAAATTATCAACTTGGTAATTTAGAAATTTGAGCTTACTGGCATGTGTCACGCTCTTCGTCACACTAACCAAGTGGTTTTGGTTCTTAAGTTATAGAAACAGCGAGTGAAAGTTTTGCATTATGTTCTTGCTGCATAACACCTTTATTATATGTTCTGCATCTACCAGAGTGTGCAGGTAAGTGCCGGGATTCTCATGAGCCACTACAATACAGTGATACCAACGGCACGTGCCAGCACGCGCTTCCTTCAACCAGACTCCAAGTGAACTCGGAGGTGTAATCACGACCACATGTGGATTTAGGCATTCTTTTAAAGTGGAAACACTCCCATTCTTCCACTTACAAGGTCATTTATGGTTCTATAGCAGGGGCATCAAACATAAGGTCTGGGGTCCAGATTTGGCCTAGCAAAGACTCCAATATGGCCTACAGGAAAGCTTTGGAAGATTTTGTAGTTTTAACTTAAAAGCTACAAAACTACAAAGTGTGAGTTTTGTAGCTTTTCCAACTGATAAATAGGAACTGACATTCATACCACACCAGAGTGATTAAGTGTAGATATTAGTAATTGATTCTAGTCTACTTATTTATCATGTAGTTTCACTGGTGGGCTGTCTGTGGCCCATGATGTAAATTAATTTGGCATCCCTGTTTTACAGGAACTAACAAAGGATACCATGCTTTAGTTATTTCTGTCATTTGGGATACTTTTATAACTTAAGACAGTGTCAGCTGCAGAGTTTTGGTAACATACCCCATTCAAACAGGTTTGGATATCCACATTTCCAAAGCTGTCTCTAAATTCATGTGCTTAATTGGCAGGTTTTTAAAGATTTTTAAATATTAAAAGCATCAGAATTGTTCAGTGTAGTTTTTAGTCAACAGAAGTGAGGCTATTTCAGTGGTAGAACAACCTAAATTTGGTGCTCTACAGAGGGAGCAAAGTTTGTAGGGGTCACTACATCTTCTGTGTTGTCACCTAGTGCATCAGTGTGGTTCACTGAAGCTATTAAACACAGTGAGACCCAGAGCAGTGATGTACAGTAGACTCTGGGTACACAGGAAGTGCTTGCTTTGTGTTTCTGGTCTGAAGAAAATCTAAAATCTAATCTATCGCCTGTTAAGTATTCCTTAGTGGCCGGATACCCCCGACACAAATTAACTGCAAAGAAAAATTGAAAGCTAACTGCGAGGCTGGGTTGTCACTGTAACTGTATTATGTTCTGGCTTGAGGTTTGCCGCAGCAGCAGCATGCATCTCAATTTCGAGACCACCAAACACAAAGTGACACCTACATACACACTACCCATGCAGACTCTTCCTCTCCCAACTCTTTTGTTTGAGATATAGTGCAATAAGACATCCCTGTATAACAAAAGCAGGATTTTTAACACTTGCAAGAAATTTATATTTATATATATTTAGATTTATGTTATGTACACTAGTCGAACAGTGAGCTGGGCATCACATGTGTCTCTTTTCTGCGAGATAGCTGACGGCAGCATACTCTGTATCTCTTGGGTTGATCTCAACAATTGTCGGAGGTCTTTTGGGGAAGTCCAAGACGCTGTAGATCACCGAGGGTGCAGACACGCTGCTCAACGACGCCACTGATTCCTGCGAAGGCAACTCGAGTCAGGCTGAAGAATTTCCAGGCTTATTTTTTTCTCTAACAGCAGATCAAAATCTTTCTTACCTGCACTGTGGGAGTGGAGCTTTGCGGGCTTTGTTGTTGTTGCTGTTGTTTGTCTGCATGAGAAGAAAAGCAGGTGAAATGTTACAAACTAGGTGAAATTGGTCATGTATACTGTATTTTGGGTTTTGCAGAAGAAGCATTCGTGGGACGTTCGAATTAAAAAATTTCTTATCCAATTTATTGTTACAGCCCGTCAACCACGTCAGTTTATCCCCGATTTACATATTTTCCATTGTCATACTTTTAAATAAGTGTGAAAATAGTCAAATCTCAATGTTAAAGACATAAATGCCGCATGTTTTGGAATTTCTTAGCTCATAGGAAATAGGGAGTAGGAGTATGCCACAGCACCCAGGAGTATAAAGGAAATAACATCCAAGATAAGTTTCTGATTCATCAGATAAGGAAAAAAAACGTTAGACGTTCATAAAAAAAAGCAATTAACCGTCAAATACATCAAAAGCACGAATCTACGTCAAATACGTCGTAACCACATAGAGTGTTCGTGCTGTTGCGCAGGAGAGCGGGTTTCGCTTTGCCGGTTTAGAGTAAACACAAACTAAACATTATCATTGCAATTATAATCTTAATGTTCAGTTACTGAGCTCAATGATGAGATGTATGTTTATTCCTGAGCTTTTTTTTACGCTAATATCAGCATTTTGTTACCTTTACACAGAGTTACGATTGCTTTTTACTTACTTAATGCTAAGCTAGGCTTAGCATCACCTCCTGATCCCGCCTCTGGAAAAAGATATAAAAAAAGCTATCGATATTCTTACATAAATACCATTAATTAAACAAATTAGCATTCAGATTAAGTGATAGCAAGCCAAAATTATGGACGACGAAAAATTTAATGCTTAACAATATTTTTTCAATGATTAATGATCTTAATAAGCTGTGCTAAAGTAAAATGTTTTAATTTTGTTTTAGTTTAACTACAGTTTGTGGCTAAATGTTTTAGTCAAGCCTGACTTTTATAATATAGTTTTAGGTCTAAGCTTTTTGTAAGTTTATGCCCAACAAGTCACGTTGTCTTTATCCTCTAGCGGTGCAAATGCACCAGGACAAGTTGCCAAAGAAACAGAGCAGTTTCTCTCCAGCATCTGTCGGTTTTGTGCAAAACCTCTGCTCGTGGACAGCGGCCGGGCCCGATTAGCACGGCACGATGCAGGAGTGCGCAGTCAGCAATTGCTTGCATTTGTATACATGTACGGGAACTCTTCTAGTGCGGTTTCTGAGGTCACGGGGGCTGTCAGATTATTTCAGCGCGGCAGCGTTCCTACTCAAAGTAGGCCAGAGGGGTTTGTCTTTGAAGTGAAAGCGCACTCGTATTAGTGAACAAATAATGCAAGCTCTTTCTTTCCACCCATCTCTCAGTGATAGTAGGCACAATTAGATTTACATGCACTGAAGGAGGACTTATTTTCAAAAGAGATGAATCATCGCATCTATCAGAAGGATGTGAAACTGCAATCTGGTTTGCATTTTTGAGCATCTAACCACACAACTGCAAATTTTTTCCACAGAATAACAAGTGTTTCCTTACCATTACTTTGTTTGCTTGAAAAACTAGAAAATACTACTGACTGCAGCCCCGCACACGCAATTCGGCTTCATACCCCTTTTCTATTTATATGCAGAGAATATTGAATTAAAGGTTCCTGATGTGTTTTATTCCAACTCAACTGACACTACGTTCAGACTACAGCATTGAAATGAGAATAAAATCCTACGTCTCCAAAAAATAAGAAAGTTTTGGCCACACCCTGATAACAAACACAACATATCAGTGAAAAGTGAAGATTGTTTTTGGATCGTATATTTGCTTACCTTTGGGTCTCACGAGACTACAGATCAACCATGGGAGTACTGTTGCCAACAGGACCACAGGTATAACCGCGAAGATGATGATGATGTTATTGATGGAACTGGGAGGTTCATTGACACGATCTGTGGGTTTAGTCGACGGCGGTGGAGCTGTAGGAGTTAAAAGAAAGTCATGAAAATATGTGAGCTTCTCTCATATTTTCGCACCACGTTTATGAACAGAAATGAAACAAAAAATAAAAATGATTAAAGATACTGAATAAGTTTAGATCCCAATGGATCTATGCATATTTCCCCAGTACATATAGACTAATGCAGTATAATACATATTTATAACATACATCAGCAACAAAAATAAAGCATGGTAGGCAGTAAAATTACACACTTCGACTCTTTCTTATGGGCTGTAAGCTGACACTGTAAACCAATGAGAATGTGAAACAGTGATCAGTATTCAGTTTTTCTGTAGTCAATAACAAATAACATACTGAATATGTGAATAGTAACCAAGCATCTCAGCTATAATGGGACTGTACATCAGTCAATCTCATATCAGCGGCTTTGCGCTCAAACATCTCAGCAGCTCCACGAATGACGCAAATTGCGATTCTGTGAGGATAAATGTAACTGACACTGCTGTTTGTGTCCCCCTGTGAATGCACTGCAAACCCTTTGATGTGCCTGATTTTCAAGCTGGCTTCCTTGTCAGGTAGAGAGGTAAATTTGCTCAGTAGCCCAGTTCTGACCAAATATTTGCAAACATAATTTATATTTAACGCTAGAACATGTTGACACGCTAGATAGCTTTGATTGCCTAGATTGTAAAGCTGGTTTAATGTACGCCTGCTGGATAGCAAGATGCTAGCATGGTGACATCAGTATTTAGCATTTAGGTCAAAGCATCAGAGCGCTTTTTATTCAACCAGGCTAGGAAAGGAAGGCAGTATTATTGACCTACTGCTCTGGTAAGTATCTACAGCAGACGGGACTGACTGAATGTCAGCTAACCTTTAAAGGCTCGGCAATATGATCTGAGAACGAGGAGCTATTTTTGTTTGTTTATTTAAATATTTCTGTTCTAACTGAGCCTTTATCAACAATGTAGCAAAAACATAACCTGCAGG